AGAGGGCCCCATCTGTACATGTCTAGCCCGATTTCCTGCGGGAAGTCCTGTACCGAGAGTAGCTGAATGGGTGTTTGTCTACCTCTGGGTCTGTTATTCCTCCAGCTCGAACCTAAGCTGTCATCAATTTAATTTCCTTTTAGCTAATGTGAGGGCTGCTGTTCTGCTCTCAGCAATGTAGTTGCTTTAAAAACCTCTTGTGAAGCTGTTGATAAAAATTGGAAAAAAGCTTGTACTGTTACCACAGCAAGCACCTTCCTCTGTGTTGTGGGTCACTGTCCAGTTCAAAGATGTAGTAAAAATTCTCCAGTGTGACAAATTCAATTGAATTTGTCGTGCTTCAGGCTATTTGGCAGCAGCATACAGGGACTTGAAATAGATTCTGCATTTGTGCCTAGATGAAAATGGGTGGAGTGCTGGCCATATTTTGGTCTCTGTGGGTATTGCATCCTACTTTATTAGGTGGACTGATGCAACTGGTCACTTTAACTTAGGGCTATATTAGAATATGCACACGCTAAAACTCCTCCAAGTGTCAAAGACCTGTAGAGTTTATAACTCATGAAATACAAATATATGATCATGGGCTGTTGTGCCAGCTAAGGACTAGTGCCACAAAACATTACTACTTGAATGAGCTTGTGGCAGGCAGATTTACTCTAAAGCATAGCAGTTTTTATTGTCTTTATGCTGCTTTGACAAGTTTTCACTGAAAGTCATGTTCTTCTGAATGTTCTCTTGTTTCAAGTCATCTAAATTAAACATACCCTTATTATCACTTGTTGTTACAAAAGTCAAACCATGCTCTATTGCATTGAATACTACACCTCAGGTTTTAGGTCACTTAGAACTTGCTGTCCAGAATAATTCAAGGTGATGGCTGTCACTGACTTGATCAAAAACCCTCCAAGAAATGTGGCTGGTCCTGTGTTATATTCTGCTGTAGTGTAGCCTCAGTTTTAACTATAACTTCTGGTGGCTGTGAAAGATGCTGGAGAGTTTCTGGAGAGTTTCAGTTTCTCATCAGTGTCCAAAAGCCTTTAGGAACCGAGTTCATGTGGATTTAATTTAAACTTTTGGCCTTCATTCACTGTTCAGCATTTGTGAGGCAAGGACTATGATGCTTTTAATGTGTTTTTCTAAGCAAATATATTTTCAAATCCAGGCAGACTTTGGAAATGTGGTTTTGTTTTTTGGTTTTTTTTTTTTGTGGCTTGGTGGTTCTGAGCTTAGATATAGTTTATTTAAAAAAAAAAAAAAGTACTAATTCTTTCAAGCAGTGGTTATAGAACTTCAGTTCCAGGCAGCGTATAATAATTAGTTCTGTTCTTGCTTATTGCTAGTGACTTGCTTTGCATCATGACAAACTCTAAAAAAAAAAGTTGGTTTTGGGAAGGAAAAGGAACTTATCTCCTGTAGAAATTAAATTTTCTACTTTATTTCTTTGAGGAAGCTAAACTCTATCCTATAAGAGTAATTTGCAAAGAAAACATGGAATCCACTAGCTGAGGAACATGTTCTGCAGTTGTTACATTCTTATCGATACTTAGTCTCTGAATGCTTAAGGCTTCTATGAGTAATTGTTTACCATTATAAAGACTCCATGATGTCTATCCCTGAAAAGATAAACTAAACTGTGTTTGAGTGTGGTGTATTTGTGCATGTGTGTTCTTGTGCATAATGCAGTAGTAGGAGTGAATGTGATTTTTATGATGGGGTAGAGAGCTTGATTATCTGTAACAAATGGGACTGGATTCGTAGTGTGCTTCATAATGTGTTAGGTTTACATCACAGACTCGGGTTCAGGAGTTCCTGTTGACCTTGTGCTCCTACTGCTACATGTTGTCGCGATTTGTTACCAGAAGTTCTCATTCAGCAGGTGATAATAGTACAGTTACATTGCCAGTCTGTGTTTTAGACAGGATGAAATCTGTTACTCTTCTGTATCGCGTAGCGGGAGGTACTGAAATTCAGTTCACTGGCAGAAACATAGGTCTGTTTTTAAATGGTATAGTCAGTTCCTGAAAATCAAGGCTTTACAATACCTGTGTGTTGTGTAACCTTTGCAATGAAATATGAAGAAAAATATTCTGTAGAAGTAAACTATTACATAAAGATAAGCTGGTAAGCTGTTTTTAATCTGGAGACTTGTGCTGTCAAGTTGTCACGTTTAGTGCTTTAAATATGATACCAGGGAATGGGATAGATCAAGATGGACTTGTTATGGTCCACATTAAAAGTAAGCATAGAGAAGTGGCGTTTTTTCATGTGGTAAATGACTCTTTTCCTCTAGGTTTTGTTTTTTTTTAATAGCTCCCTTACCTGTTCTGCCCAAAAGCAGTGCAGCTTAGTTACTTTATTAGAAAATCTGTTGGGTAAATGGTGCATTAAAAAAATATTTCTTTTTTTAATTCGTTGAACTATTGGATCATTGTGGCAGCTCCATCTTATTTTGGATAAGGAGAAATCTTCAGTGCTTTTTCAATGCCTAAAACTAATAGTATGTTTGATATTCACAATAGCATAATATTAAAGGGAACCAAAACACAAAATTTCGAACTGTTAAGGAGGTTTATGAGATGGCACGTAGTTAGTATTCCAGAAAGTGTGCAGGTGTATTTCTAGGAAGACAAACGTTGCAGCCATCAAATGTTTTTCCTAGTCTAGAAGTCTTGGCCATCTCATTGCAGTAAAATACTCGATCTTAGCAACAGTTGCTATGTAGGACTACCTTTTTAGGCTATGTTGGTACCATTTTAAGATGTTAAGAATTTTACACAGGAAAACTGATTAGTGAAGGTTTTATTGAAACAGAGTTAGAAACTATCATTAGCATAGCCAAAGAGGAAATGAGGCTTGTGTTTTGTGGATTTCAAATGTGGATGATCTGTTCTTATTAAGCAGGAAAAAAGATAACTGTTCTGGGCATATATCATAAAACCAGAACTCAAGCTGTATAGAACAGCTTACAGCACTACTGGTGCTACACCAAGGCAAGTATAAAGCAAATGGGAACCTTTTAGTGAGGGGAACGAAGTGTCTTTGGCTGTCTGTGTCACAGCTGGCCAGAGCCTTGTGCGGCAGGCTGGTTTAACAAAAGAGCCAGTGTTAATCAGGCTCTGCAGCATCCTGGAACTTCTCTGTCACTTTGATAATGGCGATTTTCTTAGAGCTGTGGTAGGAAGAGCCAAGCGGTGGATTATTTCTTTTGTTTTCCTGTATAACTGGTCTGTCCTGCTTACTTACTTAGTGCATTTTTGGTATTTGATAGGTCTTGGTTTTCTTTTCCTTCTAGTGCTGCCTGGAAGTTAGAGAGAGGGGGCTTAGTGTGTTTAGTGATCACCTGCCGGGATCTTTCAGCTGATATCCAGCTAATGCGCACACATCTTGGTGAGCTTTGCCACAAGAGCCTTGCATTGAAACGAGGAGCCGGAGCCATTGCGTCGCATGTCTTAGCAACAGTTGCCGTGTACGACTGCCTTTCTGGGCTGCACTGATACCGCTGGCAGAAATGCAAATCCTCTTCCTGCTTAAAAAGCTTATGTTCATGGATTCCCCCCCTCCCTCTTTCCTTCCCTCTTCACCTCCCACACAGTGTTACTGAAAATTATAAAGAAAAAAAAATAATCTTTGGCTGTTGCTCTCAGTAGTTTTGTGCTCTGCTGGTGCTGAGTGTTCCTCTTTCTGTACAAGTTAATGTTTTACAGGCACTTAACCGCGCTTGACGCAAACATTGACTTACAAGAGTTTCTCAAGGAGAAACATCCATATATGTTATGCTGGTGGTTGTTTACTCATATTTTCCAATGTTATTGCCTAGACAGGTAGAGGAAAAATGAAAGTATGTGTAGTTTCAGAAATGGAAAAAAAAAAAAAAATGATGCCTCACTGAGGTTTGCTAGGTATCACATCGCACTGCAGGTGTAAGGCCTGTGTCCATTTCAGTGCTTGCTATCTCACAAACGATGAAGCTGGCAATGCTGCTGTTTGTAGATGCATGACCTCCTTTTCTAAAGGAGAGCTACAACCTGCTTGGGCTCTGACAACACTTAATGTCAAAATGGTGTAATTTGTAATGCTCATTGTCTGTGTCAGCTGTCACAGAACAAATAAGCATAAACACACCCCACACCCCCCAGCACGGCTCCCTCTGTCCCGAAGATCTTTGTATCATAAGAGTGTGATGAGACAGGGGCAGAAGAGATGAGAACAGGGAGGTGGGGGGGACATATGTGGGACAGTTCTTACAAGCTGTGGTCACCACACCCAGGCATTTTTGAGACTTATGTATGCATCCTACTAGAGAAGACTTGTGAAAAGGGCTTTGCATGGGTGTCATTCAGCTTTGGATTTTGGTAGGAGCTGCTGATAAATAAGGAATGGGATGCGAGAAATTTTGAGGGGTTTGGAGCTGGAGGGTGGAGGTTCGTGTTGTTGGCTGAGTGGAGGTCCAGGTTTTACACTAGAAACTTGGCAGGAACTTGGACCTTCTTTTGGTATTGTTTCTTCATTAGCAGTAATACTAGGTTTAAGTGCTTATGGCCGTGAAACTTAACTATCTGGCCTGGAAAAGTACCGTGAATTATACTGAAGAGTGTTTCTTTTTGCTGTAGAGAGATCTCAACAGAGAAAAAGTGTTTGGCACATAACTTTGTGTTGTCTAGATTTAAACCTGGCTGATGCGAAGGTCCCATCTGTGTAAGAATTGTGTGCTGAAGAGCTGTGTTCTTGTCTTCAAATGGTGTTGGTTTATAATACAAATCTCTGTAGTTCTAAAAGTAGTGCCTGGCACGAAAAAATCTTGCAAGCAAGCAGGCATAGCTTAAAAAGAAGTTACTGTCTTCCTGATGGTCGTTGTTGTCTTGAGCTGTGGTAGTCAATATGTGGGCACTCGTAATTTGGGTTGCTGTAAAACCAGTCATATCTCCTCAAAGAAAAAAAAAGTCTTTGGAGGTGGTTACATCAAGTCAGTGGATTACTGCAATCCAGCTGTAAGAACAATGACAATGCAGGATCTTCGTGCCCTTAAAATGGCAGTACACGAAGATAATCGCTGCAGCGTGGTTTTGAACGACCATAAGAAGAGCAAGGTGGCATTCTTTTCAGAGACCACAAAATGGGATAATGTAGTGTTCAAGAGGAAGATAGTAAGTGCTTGGATATCTGTGGCCTTCCCCTGTGGGTGAAATAAGAATTGGAATTGAAGGAGATCGCAATATGTAGATGTTTGAGCAGAGAAATGTAAAACAACTGTTTGTTGCAATGCTGTTGGCCCATGTAAATTAATTTAAATATAGAAGATTTGTTAAAATATAAAAGTATCTGTAGGGAGTAAAGGGGGAACCTGATCAAGGGGAATTATTTTTACCTACTATTTCAAAAAAAAAAAGAGTTGACACACTTGACTTGTGTTGCATTGTAACTCATACTGAGCAGTCTATTTTCATAGCTATTTGTGATTGAAATTTCTGGTTTCAAAGCTCTTAATTTAGTGACGTTGCAAGAACTGAATTTTCTCTCTTTACTGTTTTTACCTCCTTTTAAACTTCTATTGGTCACTAATACCTGTATTTTGATTGTATGAAGTAAGAAGTGAATAGGTTTGTCACTGCATGTGGGGAATATTCACTAAAGGATACTGGGTTGAGTTTAAAGAGCTGAAGACAGATTTGATTGTGAAGGTTCATTAAAAAAAAACAAGCAAACATACAAAACTCTGTTGTTCCTTGGCATTGTACTTGGTCAAAGAGTTAAGTGCAAGTAGAGTCAGGAGAATGACTGGATTTATGGCATCTTAGTGTTCACCAATTCAGACTGTAAGGCTGGAAGAACTGGATTGCTCAACCTCCTGTATTTTGCAGACCATTAAACTGCAGCCAGTTTCCCCATGTGTTGAGCGTAACTTTTATTTGCCCGCTTGTTTGACTCTTAACAAGAGTCATTAAAATGTGTGTAAAAGACACTAATTCCGGGTGTGCGTTCTCTGTTGGGCTGTAGCCACAGGATGGGAGAGTGAGGGTTGAGTGTTTCTGAAGGTATGTGCTTCCAGTTTACAGATGACAACACATTTGCATGTCTGAACAGAGCAGATGAGCTTTGCTTGTCTTCGGCAGATAAATGGAAGTTTTAATATTTTTAAGTAGCCTAACTGTCATTTGCAAACTAAGCTATGCAAGAGTGATTTGTGATTTGATAGGCTAAAGTGAGGGTACTTGTTGAGAGTACAACATATGGAACAGCAGTTTTATCTGGGAAGGCATGTGCATGCTTAGGTACACAGTGTAACCTGCTTCAATGACCTCTAGTGTTTTTAATGCCCCAGCTGAGATAACTGATGGTGTATTACACCTGATTTCCCTCTACTGTTTCGGGTTGTTGGTACCATCCTGCCTTGTGCTGACCTGAGGTTTACACTTTTTTTCAAAGTGCCTTTGGAGGCTCAGTGTGGGTAGGTGAGCCTGTGGCTCCCAAGGCAAGCAGAGATCTGGCAGATGTGGTTCCCTTCATCTCTACTGCACCTCCGTTTCTTGCATTTCTGGGGAGCTCCTGTCTCTGGGATGACCTTCACTGGCAACATTTTCCAGTGATTTATCTCACGCTTTGTCTGTTTTCATTGGGTCGTCCTCACCTCAATGGTGAGAAGGGGGAAAGCTATATAGTACATTATGGGGTTTTTTTATTATTGAAGCATGTTGGTATTTATCTGTTTTGCTTGTGTTGAAAGTAGAAAAAGCTATTCTTGCATCTTGTAAAAAACCACACCCACATCCCAAATCCCATCTAAGTGGTTGCTTCAGAACCCTTTCATTTCAGTAAGAATTATTTAATGTAGTCACCTTCTTTACAGATGATGACTTTGATCAGTTTGATAAGCCTGGTGCAGAAAGGTCTTGGAGAAGAAGAGCTGGAGATGACGACTGGGACAGGTAAGCAGAGTATCTTCATGTTCAGTTTCTGTATGCTGAATTATATTGCTCTGTTTTTCCATTCTGACATTTTGTATTCTAACATTTAGAGTAGTGCACATTTAGATACTAATGAAGATGTTGGTTGTTATGTATGTGTCAGCCGATGCTAGATTGTGCCAAGCACATACTTGCCTTGAGGAATATAGAGCACACTGTGAAGAGATGCCATTTAAAATTGGATAAATACAAAGTATTTGTGGTGTGTAGATAACTTCACAATTAATGTCCTGGTTTTTCTTTTAAATATTTAGTAGGTCCCAGCAGTTTAAATAGTTAGATTTTGCTAGTACTTGAATTTGCCCAACTTAATTTTTTTTTTTAAACTACATGTTTAAATTCTTATCCTTAAAGTCCTACTTCAGTTTTACATTAGGGGAGAGTAATGGAGCTTAGGTGTGGGCTTCTATTGAAAAAATATGACTGTTGTAAAGATTTAGAAGCTTGTATGAATTTGGTTATTTTGGGGAAGAATAAGAGCATGTTCTTTTATGTGAAGGCACTCTAGCTGGGAAAGACTTGAATCAAGCTGCTTACTAGACTTGTCTATTCTTTCTGGGAGAAAACTTTCCACTTTTTTCTGGGGTTGGTTTTTTTTTTAGTTATTCCTCTTTAGTAACAGAGAGACTTGTTCAGACTTTGCCGGAGGTTTTCACTGTAAAAAGGGGGAAAAAACATTCCAAACAGATTTTGTCTTTTCTAATAATCATTCAAGTGATTGTAGTAAACAAGTTTTACCCTAAGTAATTTTCCACTGAGCTGAGCCCTTGGAGTGAATCAGCTACTCCACACTTATCGTCATTCCGGAGGGATTAGTTTCCTCTTCCGTGCTTTTCTGCTAGGTTAAGTGGGTAGTTTTCGTTGCTCTAGGAGGTGAGTAAGAGTGAATAAGGAATTTGGACAATAGCTTCAGTATACAGGGTGTTCTGCTGTGTGCTGGCGAGGGGTGACTGCTCCCTGCCATGCCAGCACAGCTTTTTGTGGGTTGGATGGTGAACTGCATCAAGGAACTGATCTGGTTTGAGACTGTAATTAAAATAACTTGCTCAGGCTGGGTCACTGTACCATGCTGCCTCCAGCCTCAGCTCTGGGTATTCAGAAATAGTGAAGCCAAGATGATAGGCAAAATGCTTTGCATTAGAATATTTTTCTGAACTTTCTGCCTTTCCTGACTTCGTGGTACGAATAGGAGAGCTCTTAGATTCTGGCTGGTCGCATTTGTTTTTAGCTGTCCTACTCGTATCACCTCAGAAAACTTGGAAGAATCAAACGGCCAGAGTATTGCAAGTTGCAAGCTTATTGCCAGTGGTGAACTCCCTGGGGCAAAGCTATTTATATAGGACTTGAGAAAGGTTATCGAGTATTTTCACTTAGGTAGAGACTTTGAAGCACACAAGGATTCAGAAATATGTTTTTGTTTATGTGTTTACTATTAGCTGCATATAATTTAAAGTAGATGATCAAAAATCATATTATTTATTCTTTGGTGAAATTGCAAGGGAAGTGGCTTCAGGTGCAGTGCTGCAGATTCCAGAGTTTCATCTTGCTGATCGTTTCAGATTTTTTTCTTTTTGCAATTGTATCTAATAGAATATTATTTTATTTGCATGTGTTGGGATTTTTAAAATTATTTTTTATTATTATTAATTCTTTCTAGATTGCCAAACTGTCTTTAGAAGTGTTAAGTTCTGTGGTTGTCTGGGAAATTATAAATGCTGTACATGCATACACTGTTGCCTAATGTAATTGCTTGAATTTTTTTAACTACTGGCCTAATTCATTATAGGACAGTTTCCTGAAGATGGAAAAAAGCCTGAATGAACACAGTAGATGTTTTTTTTTAATCCTTCACACTTTGTTTTGCAACCTAAGTCCCTTTTTTTTGTGGGGGAGGGAGAAGGAGTTACGCTGTTAGTCATACATCTTGATCAACTATCAACTCTTACTGTGTTGCTACTTGACCAAGTCCGATCCCCCAGTCTTCTAAATGATTTTGAATTTCCAGATTGCTTTACTTTTTCAAACACTGGAGGGTGATAGCTGAGAGTTGGAAGGCCCATGTTATTTGGGAGTACAAATGTAACATTGTTCTTGGAGAAGTTTTCCCATTACATTTTCTTACAAATTCTTTTCCTGAAACACTTGTGTCCTTGCCACTGCTCATGTTTAATGAGGCATGCTCATGAAATTGGAGGCCAGAAAGGGCCAGGCTGACGTCTTTATCACGGGCAGTTAATTTATACTTTTGTCTCTATAAGTAGCCCAAAGCTTAGGTTTGGGGAAAACATACAGTTCTGGTGCTGTCCTGTGAGATGACAGGGCTGATTTAGTAGTTGACTTTTGCTGAAATTCCCTCGTTCTGACCCTTTGCTGATATTATTCATTCCTCTACACTGGCAGAAAACTTTCTCTTTCTTTTTTATTATTATTGTCTTTCTCATTTGGTGAGCTCAATTTACAGTGAGGGGAATGTTGAATATTGGGAGTTGAGGAAGGGGAGAAAATGGGTCTGTCTTCTGAGAGCAGTGAACTCTTAGGTTATCTTAACCCTAATTTCCTAGAATTGTGGCTTTGGAAAGACCTTTGTGTCTTGATGATAGTGAGGGTGAGTTGCCTTTGGAACTATCACAGATGTGTACTTCTGTTCTAGTTTAATTTATTTTGTGTGGCTTTACGTGGTATCAGATTGCAACCATTCAATTTTGTCTGTTTTTCTCAGCTAACCTAAGATCTTTTAGTAGCTGGGTGTTTGGAGGTTGGTTTTTTTGGCTTTTTTGTTTTTAATACTCAGATCTGATAATTCTGAGCCCTCGTTTCTGATAGATAACTTGAGATTTGGCTATTTTAAAAGAAGCTTGAGATAGGTCCGCTTTACCATGCAGGCTTTTCTCTGTTACTCTGTTTATTCAAAAAGTTACCAACGGTGATTTTTCTTTAATTTAATCAGTTTAATTTATCAGTAAAAATACTGAATAACATTGACTATTTTAATAAATTTTGAGGGGCATTCTCTGAAACATTTTTTGTTATGAGCTTCATTTATGTGCTAGTGAAAGTTTTTCTGACTGTCAGCTAATACACTAAAGCTTTTAAAAATCTAGAATATGTATGCAATTACTTCTGTTGACCAAATGTTTAACCTTTTTTTAAAAGAATCACATTGAGGATGGTTTTTAGTAATGCGTTGAATAGCCCTAACTATGTTTAGATAATTAATTTAATCTTTTGCTTTCTTTTCCATTTTTTCTTGATCTGGATTTCTTACTACCTGAACTTGGTTTTTGTATTTGAATGCTGCTATAACACTTGCTTTTGCTGTCTTTTGGAATTTCTCTAGTGCAGCTTTATTAAAAGCTGTCAGTGGTGGACCATAGTGCTGTGAAATATTTTCAAACCTTTTGGTGCGTTTGTCAGATTACTGGCAGCTGAAGAGATTAGTGACTTTTTCCTACTTCAATTTTGGCTCTGAATTCTTCTGAAATAATTTCTGTTACTTAGAGTTTTCTGTCTCTGAAATAAAGGGCTTAAATTCTCATCAGTTTGCTCTTTGGGATTTACGATATGTATTATGTCCCAATTTTTGTTTAATATTGCAGTAAGCACAAAACAATTGCTATTTGTTTAGTCATTCCTGGAACTGTTTGAGTCAGTAGCTATGGACAAATACTGTGTACTGATGATAACGTCCTATTTAGAGCTGATTTGGAATATCATCTGTTCTCTTCTAGCCCACAAGATTTTTATTCCCTTCCTGCATTATCTGTACAGTAATCACGTCTGAAAGAGATGTACCCATCTGTAAAAACAGCTTTTAGCGCTGATTTATGTCTTGGGATTGGCTTCCCCATTTTCAAGTATTTCGTATACTTCCTAAGGAACTCTTACACCTATTTCCGTATAGCCCGTTGTTCTGTATAGCCCATTCTCACTTTGGGGTATTTATTTTTTATGTAGTATCTGAGGCATAGTTTGTGGGTGGGGTTTTTTTTTTTTTATGGTGTGCAGGTAGAAATAGGTTCATGTTCTCAAAATACAGCTCATATTCCAAATATCGGCATGTCATTTTAGTATTAGGATATGCATGTTCTAATATGAGCACTTGTCAGTAATGAGTGTTTATTATAGAGGGGGGAATCTGTGCATTCCTGTCACTAGGTAATTCCTTCACTGAAGGAAGAATGAGATTAAGCAGTTGTTGTAAAGCTTAATTAATCTGGACTGTAGTTCTTTGTGTTGCATCCTATTTATCTGACAGAGGCTATGTGAGGGCAGAAGTTTTGTAAGCCAGGTGTTTCTATGCTTCCTGATTTCTTAGCCACACTTACAAAGATGGTGAAGCATGCATTTGATTTTGTCATCCTAGAAATGTCTGTTTGACTTTACCCTCAAGTTGAGGAGGAGGGATTTGAGTATTTATGAAAGATACAGGCCTAAGTGGCTCCCACCCAGCTGGCCCTCCCAGTGCCTCCTTGCTCAAGTGTGGCTTGGGCCACATGGTGGCCTGTAGACTGAGTCTTGCCCACAGGACATCGTCTCACTCACTGCTTCCCTCGAGAGGTGGGAAACAGCAGTGTGGGCAATATGCCTAAACAGCCTTGAAGCAAAGGATCTGGAGTGGGGGCCTAACTAACTGTGTTTTAAATGCCTGCACTTTGTGTAGGTTTATGTGCTGCCTTATAGTTGGGGGGATATGGAAAGGGGAGCGTATGGAAATGAAAGGACTGCGCAACCAACAGTGGTCCTATTTAATATGTGTGGTCTATTGTTTCATTTTAAATATATATCTCCTTTTTCAACTTGCTGAAAGGAAAACTGTGCAGACAATTATCCTCAAGTTAGTTTTTTAAGGTGTATACTCTTTATGGTGTTTGTTTCTGTTTTCTAAGGTTCAGCTTCTTAAATTTGTTAATGTTTTCCAGTGAACTTGATGATGACTTGCTTGGAGAGGATTTGCTAACTGGCAAAAAGGTAAGAGATGTGCATTGAAATGAATTGTTACAGATGCTAAGATATGAATGTTGTTTAACTTAGCCACTTCAGTTGTTTGGTATGGCCTTTTACGTATTTTACAGTTGCATCCCCAAAGCCTGACAGCCACAGGTACCTGAGATCTGCTCTGCACCTAGACCTCTGTTTCCTTTTGTGAAGTACCTCCAAGTGTGGCTTTTTAAAATAAAACTTTTAGAAATTTTTTTTTCTGAGATGGTATTTCTTCTCATAACACACAGTTCAAAAAGGAGATGGCTCTCAAAATTAGTTTCTTTGTAGCTCATATTGAACAATTAAAAGAACAAAGCAACCCCCCCCAAATTATGCCTCCTGAGTGCTGATTAGTGTTCTGGAGAATTCACTTCAACTGCCAGTTTCCTGGCTATTAAAAGTTACTCATCAAAATACCATCGGTATTTACCAGAGAGTAAACAAAAAGGCAGTTAGTGGTGTCTGTTAAAGATCCATTCACTGCGCACAATCCACTACTACTTTGTCTGATGAGCAGGCAGAGGATTTCCCATTCTACACTGAGGGAAGAATATGGGAGCAGCTGGCATTGGAGAATATAAATGAGTTCCCCCATGTCTGCTAGAGACTCTTCACTCTGATATCTATTTCCAAACTTGAACTCTATGAAAAGAACTAAATGTATATTTGAATTTACCAGATATCTGCAGAAGACAAAGCTTCTGTTTGGGAAATCAAAACTGGCTAGTCACCTCTTTTTTCACTTCATCTGCTAAATGAATTAATTTAGAAAATAGTTTTTAAAGTTTTAGTTGGAGGCGAATTGGTTTAAGAAACCCAGATCTGGTAACAGTTGAGTTTTAATTGATGTAGTTTTTTATAATCACACTCCAAATGCTGGAAGTTAGCTTCTTGAAATTATTCTGTAAGTAATCCCTATTAAAGATAGGAAGTTCGTTTGTCTCATGTACTGGTTTAAAAAATGAAATAAAATTCCAGGAGGGATAGGGATTGCAGATGTGTGTTATGTAATCATCAAAACCATAAGCAGTTAATGTTGCATATACCTTTGTAGTTGAAACATGAGTTGATAAAGCTACTTACTTATCTTAAAAAAAAAAAAACCAAACCAAACACAGAACCACCAACAACAAAAAAACCAAACAAAAACCCTACCCATATGAATACTGAGCAGTACTAAATTTCTCCAGTGTATTATGTGTTCTTGTGCTTTTCCTACTCTTGTTTTCAGTTTGCCATGTTACAGGGCTCTTAGCAATATCTGTGGGTATGGACTCATATTTTGGAGTAATAATAGATTTCTCAGGAAGTTTTCCCTGAGCTATTTAGGCTAAACTTGTTTCTGGTTAATCTCAGTACTTTTAGATAAGTCTACCCTTGTATAACCTTTCTGCCACTATTACTTTAGAGGATGGAAATAATGTTGCTGAGTAAAACTGCAGTGATCTCTTCCTAGTGCGTAATTATTAAAAAAAATTAGCTAAAATGATGATAAACAAATTAGGAGAAGTTCAGAAAAGGCATGATATTTTATTCTATTTTTTTTCTCCACTTACAAACTAATTATGGTTTTTCAGTTTCTTCAAGTTTCTTCATATCATCATAACCTTTCCTCCAGTCTCCTAAGTATCTGTGCTTTCTAGAAACTGCCGTAACTTAGAGTTTTTTCTTGACTTGTCTAAGGCACAAAGGTCACAATGCAGTTAGATAAGAGCACTAAAGCTAACCGTCCTTTCTTCTGGTATTTCTTAACTGAGTTGTCATCTTTGGCTGTATTTGGGAATGCATCAGTGAAAAGTGTTGATAGCTAGGCAAATTTGAGTTCTGTAAATTTCCGTAAGTTTGTCAAACGTTTGTTTTCAGATATGTTGTCTTGTGTAGTGTATTTTTTCCCAGTGAATTAGGTAATTTCATTGAAGATGTGGTCTTAGTCTGGGATGCATTCCTCATAAAAAAAATACTTAGTGTTCAGAAGTTACAATAGTTTCAGTACCTAGTTAGTTGAAAGCTTATATCTATTTTTATGTTCATGATTGACTTTTTCTGATACCTAGAATCAGTCAGACTTGTCAGATGAAGAGCTGAATGATGATCTTCTGCAAAGTGACAATGAAGAGGAGCAAGAATTCCGGTATCTGTTTTCTAAATCTTGTGTTTTGAATAACTAAGCTATTAATGACTACTACTATTACTGATAACTAGTAACTACTAAGCTGAAGTTATTGGTGTATACTTAAAATAGTTTTGCTTTTTATCTAGCCAGCTACTTAATGATGTATATATAATGTGTTCAATAGCATTGTTAGCATTTCAGTAAAACTAATTTTTGTTTATTTGAATCTAATAAACTTAGATCTGTTAAAAAAGCCTATAAAGAAGAAACTGTCATCTCCTGTTCATTTAGAATTATTTATAAATATTTACAGAGCTCTTGTTCTGTGCTTCTTGGTATTGTTGTAAGCTTCCTTTTCTGCTGTCTTGCTTTTAAAAATGTATCTTGACTCCTAAGATCCTGAGGAGGGGAGCTTCATAGTTTGTAAGGCTTGATTTGTGGCTTAAATATTTGTACACAATTACACAACAGAAAATTTTGTACAGAGTTTATTGCATGAGCAGGTACTTCCATGGGAATTTACTGAGGATCCTGCCCTGTGGATACCGTGTGGTAATAGAGCTCCACAACTGACTTGTGGGCCTTAAAAGTCAAAATGAGTGTCTTGCATTTTTACTTTTCAAGCAGGACTGAAGGGGAAAAGGAAGATGCTCATGATGAAGTGTTGGTGGCACTAGCTATTGTAAACAGTAAATTCTGAGTTTTGCATTTCCTCCAGATTGTAAACTTCCCAGTTTTTGTATTGATTGGCTTTTTTCAGTGTCTGTGCCAGTGCTGTTACTAAGTAATCTTAAGTAATCTTAGGCATTTAAATGACAGTTCTTGACTGTATGTTTTATATTATTTCAAGCAGAACATTAAATCTGTCATAAAAATGTAAGTTTAAATTCAAGATAATCAAGAACGAACAATATTAATACATTTAGTAAAAAATAATTTATGAGCTTATTCTGTTTGATTGGGAAAACTGATGCAGTTACAGTAATTTTGTGTATTTTTTGTTAGTCTTTGAATTAAAATTGAATCCAGTCTGCTTTGGTTACCAAGCAGGACTTTTGCCAGTTTGACCTGCTAAACCATCTGGTTGGTTCGATTCCCCTGGTCAAATAGCCTGCAGCTGGTGATAAGCTGCAGTACAGTGTGCATTATGAGAATATGGCATGGAATCAAATAGTGTGTGAGGTATAATTTTGTCCACCAACTTAGAGATTTTTTTATTTGTTGGCTTTGTTTTGCTAAATCTTTGTGAGTAGTTGACTGTTATGCTTCAACCTCTGAATTTTTTTTTTTCCCCTATACCATAGTTCTCAAGGTGTCACAGTTAGCCTCAATGCTACGTCTGGCATGCTTACATCATACGAACTCTCTGAGACCATCAATGATCAATCGATAGAACATGAGTCTGAGTATGACCAAGGGGAAGATGAAATTGGTTATGACAGATCTGAAGCACCTGAAGTATATGCTTCAGATTATGCAGAGGAAGGACATTATGAAGGCAATGATCCTGAACTGACAGAAGACCAAATAGAATATGGGGAAGAGCCTGGAGAAGAAGATGAAGTGCTAGACCTTGAAATCAATGAACCCCTAGATGAATTTCCAGTGAGTTTCATTCTATTGTATCTTCAAAGATAACATTGCTTCACGTGCATAGGGTTTTAGACTGATTTGAAATCTGTTTACTTCCCTAGGGAGGAGGGGAAATTAGACCTATTATCACTGTCTGCCAGTTTCTTTATCTAGGCTGTGACAAAGTTTGTGTTGACAGCTTGTTTGGCGGTAGGTAATGCTCCTTTGTCACGCTGGAAGGCAGTTGAGAATCATGACCTTGAGGATTGTATCCTTAAGGAAGAAAACAGCTTTGTGTGGTGGAGATACACTGACAATTGTTAGAAGTACTTAATGCAAAAGCTTTTATCCAGGCTTTAGACAAGATCTGATAAAGTCCTTCGAAGGTGAAAAGATTATTGACCTGCTAAAGACATCTTTAAGGTGCTAATATCCCAAAGTGATTGATGTCCTGCTCGTTCATCCTTTTTGTAACTGAGAACTGTCTAAACCTGAATAAAGAGATTGGAGGTTAGTTCAGAAAATGTCACCTGCATAATTCAATATAATTTAAGCAGTGTATTAGAGAACATGCACTGGCTTTAATTGCTAGTGAAATGATTTAATCTTAATTAAAACTGTATGTGATCAATGAGATGTTTTAAAATACAGGCAGACTTAGGAAAGGTTTTGCTCTCATTTTTTGATCATAATTGTTCAGAATCAAATCCGTTTGTGGGTAAGCACTTGCAGAATGTTTTAAGAGTGTTTATGTTTTTGATGGGCTAAAATCTGATGTTAATATATATGTGCTACAGGTACATGTTTGCTTTGGTAAGAAAGTACTGCAGTGTTTGCTTCATGAATTTGTAGTCAAAGGATGTCAAAGTACAGAAGTAGATGGGGCAAACAGTGGTAGATGGGATCTTTATGATGCCATTGCTGGAATATGAATGCAAACTGTTTTGGTTATGGTTTTGATAATATTGAAATTGTCTAGTTAAAAGCCCTGCTAATTATACCTTTGTGGTGGGTTGATCCTGGCTGGATGCCATGTGCCTGCCAAAGCCACGCTCTTGCTCCCTGGACAGGGGAGAGAAAAATGTAATGGAAGGCTCATGGGTTGAGGTAAGGGCAGGGAGAGATCATTCACCAATTACCATCATGGGCAAAACAGATTGGACTTGGGGAAGCTAGTTTAATTTATTACCAATCAAATCAGAGTAGGATAATGAGGAATAAACCCAAATCTTAAAAACACCCTCCTCCCACCCCTCCCTTCTTCCAGGCTTAACTTCACTCACGATTTCTCTCCCTTCTCCCCCCCCAGCAGCACAGGGGGATGGGGAATGGGGGTTGGAGTCAGTTCATCACATGCTGTCTCTGCCACTCCTTCATGCTCAGGGGAGGACTCCTCACACTCCTCCCTGCTCCAGCCTGGGGTCCCTCCCGTAGCAGACAGTCCTCCACAAACTGCTCCAGTGTGGGTCCTTCCCGTGGGCTGAAGTTCTTCCTGAACTGCTCCAGCATGGGCCCATCATTTCTATGGGGTGCAGTCCTTCAGGAGCAGATGGCTCCAGTGTGGGTTCCCTGTGGGGTCACCAGCTCAGCCAGCAAACCTGCTCCAGCGTGGGCTCCTCTCTCCATGGGGGACACAGGTCCTGCCAGGAGCCTGCTCCAGTGTGGGCTTCCCACAGGGTCACAGCCTCCTTCAAGCACGCCCCTGCTCTGGCATGGGGTCCTCACCAGGCTGCAGGTGGGGATCTGCTCCCCTGTGGGCCTCCCTGGGCTGCAGGGGCACAGCCTGCCCCACCAGGGGAATCTCTGCTCTGGCACCTGGAGCACCTCCTGCCCCTCCTGCTGCATGGACCTGGGGCTGCCCTGCTCACAGATTCTCACTCCTCTCTTCTCCAGCTGCAGCTGTGCAGGGTTCCCTCCCCCCTCCCCTCCTTAAATACATTATCCTAGAGGTGCTACCACCATCACTGATGGCCTCAGCCAGCAGTGCGTCCATCTTGGAACCAGCTGGCACTGGCTCTGTCAGACATGGGATGAAGCTTCTAACAGCTTCTCAAAGAAGCCACCCCTGTAACACACACATACACACTCACACCCCCCATTACCAAAACCTTGCCACCCACCCAATATAACCTTATATGATATGTCACTTATAATTGGCAGTTCTGATAGATACAATATGTCTCTTCCAGTTCTGGAGACAGTAACAATGCATACAGAGCCCATCTGTTAATGGTGGAGTGTGATTTGTGATTCTGTAAAGTTGACCTGTGTCTTTTCACTTTCTTGTGTTATTGTATTAGGATGAAGATTACATGCAATCATATAATGAGCAAGGAATGGAAGAACAAGAAGAATATACAGCTGATGAGGAGCTGGAAGAATCCCAGACAATAACAAATGAATCAGAAGAGGTATGCTGTTAATTTAATGGAAACTTAAAATAACTATTTGTTTTCAGAATTTGAATTTGTAGAATTGTCCATATTGCTGGGTAAGAAGCGATGCAACTTTGCCAATGTTGAATTATTGGTGGTGTTATTCTTTGTGTAAGATGAACTGTGATAGCATCTGTATTGTTAGATACATCAGATCCCCTCTCCTACTTGGGATGAAAGATGTAAGGCAGAGCTCAAAATGTCCATATCTAATCTTAGCATCAACATTAGAAACTTCAGGGACCATTTTGGGTATGAGAATGGTAGTAATACTGCATGCTGTCTGTTAAATCTCTAATAGCTATGGTGCCTCACTTTCCAGATGGGTAATTTGCAGATGTTGGGACTGTAGATAATAGTGTTCAGGTATCCCACTTTGAGGAGGAGCGTGAGCATGGAAGGTTCTGTATGTTAGAAAGGCAAAGGTCAGATTGTTGTTTTGAAAGAAGTTGTATTGGGGCTGAAATTTCTGTGAAGTTTATCTTAATTCTTTGATTTGGAAAAAGGGTTAGTTCCTTCATTTGCAAGAAGAAAACTTACGCCAAAACTGTCAAGTATATGTTCACTGGTTATAGCCTAGGACAGTGATATCATACTTGTTACTAATTTGCAGCAAGTTTTTGATGTGGGATTTTTTTTCCTTTCCCCACCAGGAATCTGCTTTAATTTTACTTCTATTCCAGTTCTTGATTAAATAGGATTGAATGGATTACCTGCTGAGAAGCGTAGTCAGAGTGTGTTCCCTCTTTGGAGCTTTAACTCATCAGGAAATTAATTCCTCAAAGACAAGGCAGCGTTCCTCTACGAAGTTCTAGCAAATGGGTGTGCTGTGATACTCCCCAGTTGTATCAAACTTACTATAATAGAACAACATTCTTTGGTAGGTGGAGAGATGCATTGAAAGGGGCCACCTGCATGGTTCAGTCTTTGCTGTTGCAAGCATGACATCTTACACCAAATATACCTTAAATGTAGTTAATTTCCTAAGTATTAAATCTACCTTTCCAAAGAACTGTGAAACACTTCAACACTTTTTGTTTATTCACTGGATTATATATACTTTCCTTCTGGTGTTTTAAAAGCAGCCTGATGTGTTTGTGCTGTCTGCAGCCAGCGACTGTATAAGAGCACCGCACAGTAAAATTAAGTACATAGTTGGAATTCACTGCCAAACTTACTGCTTTAAAAAAGCACAGCTTCATTTTTTAGAGTATGAACTAGTGAGAATTCTATAATAATCATGTTGTCTAAATTTGTACAATTCAGAATCTAATTACTTTCATTCAAAAGATAACATTAATGTAAGCTTTTAATTGATTTTGTTAATAGACCTTTTAGAGAATTTGTTCATCATGTAATGTGACTATTTTGGCCACATCTTTATTCAGTTAATCTACATTCTGACTTTATTCTGATGGCTTGCAGATTGCCACAGGTTCCTTGTTTTCAAAATAGTGCCATCTTTTTATTTCTTTATTCTTAATATGTAGCTTATTTACATTTGTCTGTAGGCTCACAATTGCAGTGTCCAAATGAGAATACCACCAAGAGAGAGAACTTTTGTAGAGTATGCACTTGGTTTATTACATGGTTAGATGCATGCTTCCAGCTCTGAATAGTTTTGTTCTGCATTTGAGTGTTATATTTAAATCTCATAACGTTCACTGCTTGTAAACAAGGGTAATTGTTGGCATTCTTCTGTAGAAGATGCAACACAAGAATGGAGTTGTACTAGATGTGGTACAAATAAATAGCATTATTATTTCTTGATTGAAAGTTGGCATCTGAGTAACTGAGAGCGAACTGATAAAGTGTTTGGTAGTATTGTATTTTAAGCAGTTTCTAGATTAAAATCAAATAACCTTTTATTATATTGCATGAAGAAATTTTGTAAACCAAGAGAAAAACTGGCTGGGGAATTGGAACATGATGGGGGGGAAACTGGTGAGTAAGGGAAGTGAGAGACCTGATAAGAGTGGCTCTCAGGTGGGAGATGTGAGGAAGAGGCAGGAAAAGTTTGTGTCCTTGGCCAGATCAGGTTCAAGGCATGCTTCTTCACTTGATATTTAATTTGAAACGGTGCTTAGAACTTGGATTTTGAATAAATAACACCCTTTGTGGAGCTTCCTTGAAAAATGCAGCAATGCTTCAGAAAGTATTTTTGCTTTCCTGATATACAAAGCAAAATCCAATACCTAGAAGTTTCAGCAGCAAATGGGTGTGGTAAAACTGTCAGTTACATGAATTATGTCCTGAATGCTTGTAGAGTAATAATATCTCTAGTTAAATGTTCTTAAAAATGTAACCTCCTAAAATTAGAATTCATAATTTCTTTGTTTTATATTGGAACTAATCTCCTGTGAAGTCTATGATAGGGGGTTTCTCATTGCATAAATTTAAACCACGTCTTGGGTTACACTGATAAGAAGTGATGTGGACTTTAATCAAGTAAACATTTCAGGAAGAAGTGCTGCATACTGCTTTTCTTCTGATAGAATACAGTCTTAGACAAAAAAGGCCGACGTGTCTGTCTGAATTGTTCCATCTGTGTTTAGCCAAAACTTATGCTTTTTAGTTCGTTGTTCGAGTTTGAAGATGCTACCTGTCAGCCTGGAGGAAAATGATGAAGAGAGTGCAAATCAGAACAGCCAAGTTCTAAACATATTTAGAAGCTCTTAGGTTTGTTTTTTATCCCCATTTTTCATCTGTGAAGTGGAGGTGCCCTTGGAATAGGTGTAACATCTTATCTGCTCTCTGTTATTTCTCCATCCCTTAGGATTGAACATTTTCTGCTGCTTCATTGTTAGCCTCTGGCAGAAGCCTCCACTGCTTATTTTCTAGCTAGTTAAAAGTTCTTTGTTTCACTGTCATAATGTTGCACGTGGAAGTGATCTGGTTTAGCCTTTACACTGCCAAGATGTACTGTACATCTTGGCACACTCTGGCACAGAGCTCTCCAGAACACTTGACAGTCCCCATGTTCAGGAGGATCCTGGGCTAAGATCAGCGTTTATTGTGCTGAGTAGTGTTTTCTCCTCCTTTCCATGGGCTGTGTCTGTTACCAGTCCTGCCACTGTGAGGCAAGCTGTTTGGAGCAGGAGCACTCGCTCTTGCTTCATAGCAGATCATTACCCAGCGTGGGGAGTTCTGGTCAGTGACTGGGATTTATGGCATAATTATTTAATCAGGATGGCAGAGAACTCTGACGTTGTGAATGAAGAAAGGTCAACTTTTCTTCGTAAGGAAGAGTCAGCAAAGCTCTTTGGTAGCTTTGTGCAGTGTCCTAACGGGAAATGTTATAGTGCAGTCAAGTGACCTCGAGTAGCTGTTCAAGGACTGTTTATGTATATTCAGAGATATTCAGGATTAGCAAGTATTAAATAGAATCCTATAAGTAGTAGTATGTATTAATTCTATGTCTGCACTTGTGTCTTTTCCTGTATACATTTCTTTTGAAACATAGAATGCATTCACTTACTGTAATCTTGGCAAAACAATTCATCCTGTTAGGCTGGAAGTTGGAAAAGATGATCTAAAGAAGTCTTGCATGCTACAACTATTGAACAAATTGCAGGGTAAGGGTGTATGCTCCTACACAGCTCAGATAACCTTTCCTGGAGCTGTATGTAGAGAACATATGGTTGGCTGTCAGACATGTTTGTGTCTCCATCGCAAGTAATATAAATCCCTCAATAATACATGTAATCAGACTTGGACATGGGTCAGTTAGCATTCTTGTGCACTGCCTTTCCTTGGTGCCTGCTTTTTCATTAGCTCCTTTGATTTTTTTTTTTTTTTTGTTTTGCTATTTAACGCCTGTATGGCTATTGTTTGCTAATAGGTGGTGTGAGCATTACACTGATGAATAAAGTGAGTTAGACCCAGAATACTACAGAATCCCTATAAGTGGTTATGAATAGAATAGTGCTGGTCTAGAAAAGTTTGAGAAGTCCTTTTTTTTTTTTTTTTTTTGTTGCATAGGAAAGTAGTTGTAGTCTATTACAACTTGGTTTTTTTTTAATGTAGTTTTTTTTTCCAGAATGAACAATTATCAAAAGGTGACAAAGTTTCCACGTGTATTTTCTGTAGCATTTCATTAAAACATTGCAAAATTTTTCAGGACAATGCAGACTGCATTAACCATACTAGTCCTGATTCTGCAGTCTGAGCCACATGTAGGGCCTTGCACGAGTAAGTTTTGCACTCACAGATGAGATTACGTGACTGAGACCAGTCTTTGATGAATAAAAACTGGAATTCCAAGGTAGCTTTTAAGGGGCACGGACATAGAGGGTGGATGTGTCTGGGGTTTATGCTCTAAAGCGAAGCAGGAGGCTCAGTATAGTGAGAGAGCACGTCTCACAAAACAGCCACTCCGGTTCTGACTTCCAAATCCTGATCCTGAAGGGAAAGTTTTTAAAGATAACACTGGGACAGGAAAATTATGGGGGTTTATGATATTTAAAAACATATTAGATAGGGAGATTGCTACTCCTTTCTCTTTCGGGAGTTCCTCTTTTGAAAGTAAAATGTTAACCCTGTCTTTCTCCCTTGTTTTTGTTTGATTTATTAAACCCCGTTAGCATCTTTTTCCTTGTTAACATCCCTCCTCTGTTACATGAGTCTCAACTGCCTGTCCTCAGAGGTGCTTTGATTATGTGTGGTTATGTTAATCAGACCACTTGTGCTCAATTTAGGTTTGCTTTTGAGGTTTGGATTTCTTTCAGTCTTGAAGGATTTTTTTTTTACCTGTAGTTTGTAGTCTGTAGATTTTATCTGCCTTTTTATGATAAAGCTGTTATATACAAGTAAATATATTTTTAAAATATAGGCCTTAAAGCTTTTTGTAAACTTCAGCTATTCTCTTAGCTATATCTTAAAAAATATTTTTGTGAGGTCAGGAAATGTAGTGCTTGAATGTTTGCCTGGAATGGATAAACCACATTCTGAGATAAGGAGATGATAAAATGAAAATAACTTGGGATCAGTAGGCCATTAAAGTCCAGGACTTAAGTGTACAGGTTATTTATTCGCCAGACCAAAGTTGGAGAAGCTTTGAAATGGAGTTCATGTGGTCTGCTGTAGAAATCTGTCTTGCCAGATCCCGCCTCTGATCTTGCTTCCCATGTTTCCTTTTTTGTTTTGGATGAAGTTGGGCTCCTGGATAAGGCAATTTGCAATCTCTTGCACTATTCTGCCATTCTTTTTCTTGATTTGTGACTCTGTCCACCTGACACACTTGCTGTGCCTTTTTCACATAAATTACTGCACCAATCTGGTTAATTAGAAGATGAAACAATGTTTTGCATGTTACATTTCACTCACTTTTTAACTGTCCTCAAGCAGCATAAAAGTTATGATGTATTTAGTGGCTTTCAAAGAATTAAAATGCATGTGCAGGCTTGTACAAGAAATAACCAAATACACAGAAACCAAATATTTTATGGAAAATTGTACTATATTAGAACACTTCTAATTTTCAACTCTAGAAATCAAATATAGCTTGTGTAACATTCTGAACATTAATATTATCATGCCAGCACAGGAAAATGAAATTGATTTTTTTTTTCTTCTTTTCTTTTTTAATTTGAAGGAGAGTAATCCATTTCCATTTGGGACATTGTTTCATCTAACTAAATGTTCTCTGTTATACAGAGAAATGGAAAGTAAATGAGGACAAGGGAGTAGCATTCCAATATACAAATTTAGTGTATTCATATTTTTTCCAATCCTGTTCTCCGTTCTCTTTGTCAATTGCTGGAAAGTATTCAAGGAGTAGAAAACGTAAAGACAAGTACTGTTATACATACCTAGAGAAATAAAATTGAGATGTAAGGTTATCTGGGTTTTGTTGGGTTTTTTTTTAACAACAATTGTTAAAAAATGGGAAAAAAATTATTTAATGTTTGTATTACTTCAATCTGGTAGTATCCCAGGTTTGCATCTTAGTCAATTCAGTGATTCTGTGTGCAAAAGTAGCTACTAATCAGATGGTGATTCCAACTGGAATTTTCACATTCCCTTAACTATTACAGTATAATGGGTTTTCTCAATAGATTTACTATATAATTTGTTATGTAATTCGTAGCTTTATATTTAAAAAAAAATTCACCAAGCTCTTAAATGTTGAGTCATATATGAGAATAATATATAATGCCAGCAAAATTTGTACAACGGGAGTTTTAAAGAAAGCTTTGTCTTTTGACACTCATTGATTACAAAGTAGATTTTTCAGTTTGCATGTCCTCTGTATTTTGTGATTCAGGCAGCTATTGAATCTCTGGAACTTCAAGAAGAAAGAAAAGAAGAATCTGATGAAGAGGAGGATGATGATGAAGAATCTGGACGATTACGTTTCAAAACTGAACGGAAAGAAGGAACGATAATTAGGCTCTCAGATGTGACAAGAGAAAGAAGAAACATTCCAGAAACTTTGGGTGAGGTTTTGTAGCAATGGACTATTTTGAAGAGCTATAATAAAAGAATGTCAAAGACAGGCTTGCCAAGACTTTTGGAAGAGTCCAATGGCAAAAGATAGAACAGTCACTTTCTAACTTAGACTGCCCTCTATCCAAGTTGTCCAGTCATACGTAGTTTGTTGTAGTATGTGTAGTGTCTGTCTCCTTGAGAATAATGTTTAAGCATATTGTGTTTTGAAAACCAGCACAATGTTTTTTCATTGAGACTTTTGTGGTGCCCTTAAAAGCTTTCCTGTTTTCAAGCAGCAACTGTCTGATCTGTGCTTCACTATGTATTCTGGTGGAATACATTTTAAGGAATTCCTTTGGACTTCCATCCTTGGAAGATTGTCAGTTGATAACACAAATGTTATTACTTGTGTTCTGCTGTGCAATACCTGCATGTTTGCTGCTTTTCCCCCAGTAACGTAAGTGTGCTGTGAACATGTTGTGTGCCTACTGTTGGATTGGCCTAGAGAAATTGTAACTTGCTGGGGAGTGTGTTGGAAAAATATGGAAACCCCTGTTTTCTGGGTTCAGCTTTTCTAACACGGAGCAATCTGGATCTCTTGCACCACCGTGATTCTTTAGGCAGTGCCTAAAAGGGTATATTTTCTTTGTATTTGAGTAGCATAACACAAGTGTGTTTCTAGGAGCACTGCTCCATGTAGCTAATGAATTTGCCAGTGCTAGTTCAGAAGGAGCAGTAGATTTGCAACTTCCTTGCAGCTGCTCTGTTTCAGTCTTTAAATAAAATCACATTGGTTTATGGTTTTGAGAGTTAACTTCAAGACCCCTCATGTGCCCTGGGTACTCAGGTACCTGATACTGTTGTTGTACCTGCCCCACTGGAGGTAACTCTGTTGCCTCTTCGTGTTGGCCTTATAGTGGTGGTAATAATAATAAGTAATAATAATAAAAAGTAAAAATAAGCAGGTAATAATAGGAGATGTGCAGAAATTTTGCTTTTGGAAAGGTGTACTATTCTCATAGATTTGCTACTGAGCCAAAATATCCATTCAAACTATGGAGAAAAAGCTTTTGAAGAGAATCAAGATATGCAAAAGAGGTGAACCGGTAATGAAGGCAAATTGTCAGATGCTGTTGGCTAATTGTCAGATACTACTGGGGGAAGCTGTATTTTTTGATGATACTTCGAGTTTTGCCAGATGGTAGGAATGAATTCTTTACAGAGGATTGCTTTAAGATGGGTGCCACGCAGTGTGAGCTTGGTAGCTGGGTGCTTCTCCTTCTTTCCAGATGAACTGGTATCTTTGGGACAACAGGGCATTTTGGAATTACGCTCCCAGAGCGCATACCAAGGTTGCCAGAACTCATCCTGATGAAATTTTCCTCTTACCTTAAAAGCCTTGCTTTGCAAAGGATGTTAATTCTAAGGATTTTTCTGAAGTTGCATAGCCTCCTAGTTCTTTAATTTGGTTGCAAGGAATTTGGGCTTTACTATGCCTTCAGAAATTGAGAAGTCTTAATTCTGTAACAAAGGTGTTGTGGCTAAGAGGACTTGTTTGTGAGCAGCAAGGAGTCAGCTGCAAAAGCTGAGCCAGACTCTCACAGCGGTATTCATGTAGGCCATGTTGTGCTGTGAGGCATCAGTGCATGATATTGAATCAAGACCTTTCTCATCTGTTGTTCATATTTAGCAAATAGCTGCTCTTACTTGCAATTTCAGGCAAGTGTGTATTAAGGGCCTTTATTCAGCATTGTTTTAATAATTGGGAATTGATTCTGATTAGAATAAGACTGAAGGGAACCCTCTAGAGGCACAGAGTAGTCTTTATAGGCAAGGGATATTTTAGCTGAGGTGCATTTCAAATGTGTTTTCAACCGTAAGATCATATTTCTACGTACCACATACAGACCAGATCTTATTTATACAAAAGGTGCTGGTGGCTTTACAAAGCAGATTATTTTAAGAATAAGAGTGCACTGGAATAGCTAAATCTTTGCACATAATTACAAGGGAAATCGCATACATTTTCAAATATCTGTGGATTTACTCTATAGTTCAATGTAAAGATGAGACCAGCCTCTGAGGAGAAAACCTGTAGTGGAGCTTGACTGTTAAAGAAACAGTGATTCAAATTAGACTTATTTTTAAGTGTAATTTTAAGTGATTTGGGATGTAGCTCTGAGATATAAGGAAAAGGTGATGCAAATGTGGATGAGTCTATAAACTAAAGAGCTTATTTTGTATTTTTGCCAAAGATTAGTTTCATTCTTGCTGTTATGAAATGGTTTCTATTCATACTAGTTATTCATGTTAATTTGTTTATAGAGAGACAAAATGATTGACCATGTGGTAGAAAGATAACCAGCAAAAAATACTTGTTTGCATATAAATATCTGCTTGCTTCTGAGGTTATAGAGCAAATTTTTACAGATGCTACTGGTTTAAAACTGAAACTTTATTGCAGATCTACATCTCCTTACTTTAAAAACTGAATGTAGTTGAGAAAACACTTAAAGAGGAATTAACATTTCAGTTGAAGTTACAAACGTAATTTCCATCCTGTCACATTTTGGTGACCTTTTGTGACAGCTTGTCTCTATTGGAGGAGTGCATTCTTACTTGCTGATTAAAGATGTCATTTGAAACCATTTTATTACCAGCAATAGTGAAATTAATCTTGACACTTAGAGACACTAGAAAAATAATTGCTGATTCACTGCATTAACTGTGTGTGTGAGAACTGTACAGTCAAGATGAGAATATGTTTGTGCTGGTAAAAAGATGTAAAAGTACAGAGTATTATCATGAATGTAGCCGAGATGTTGCCTAAACATTTCTTTACCCAAGACAATGCAAGTGGTGGTTTTGAAAAGTTTAAAGGAGAGGTGTTGTAGGACAACTACGCAGTTGATTTCTAGAGATACCGAGTTTCTCATCTTTGAGAAATACTTGACTTCTTTCAGTGCATATAGTTGAAGTCTTCCCAGATTTGGAATTGTCGTTATGCTCTGGATTCAGTTACCTAGTAAATGAAGGAAAATTACTTTGTTTGGCATCACCAAACTAATGTATTCTCTCTGTACTTAATTTAAAAAATAAAACAAACCCCTACACTTATGCAGAGCCATTTGCAAAGTCATAACAAAGGTTATTTGATGTGGTAGTACTTTTTGTTATGTCCTGCTTAGTTGGCTTATGTTCACTGAGATAACTAGCAGCTGAGATTTCGGGCAAGACTAGGAAAATAAAATGAATGGTTTCCCTGTTGCACTGTGGGCAGAAGCATGTAGTGTAATCAGGTTGCAATTCTGGATGATGGGGAGAGAAAAAAAGTAAAAGTAAAGGAGAATAATTGCTATGTCTCTCAATTTAGATTGCATATATATGTAAATGCATGTGTGTTTTTTTTTTTTATAGCTGTTCTGGAACGTGATTTAAGTTGTAAATCTCTGCACTGTCCAGGATAATAGGGGTTCTGGGATTCTCATACCTGGGGATTTGAAATGCCATTGCTGCTGGGGAGCCACCCAAGGCAGATGTAGCTGCAGAGACCTGTGCTCAGGGTTGGCATAGGGGCGGGGGCCGGCCGCAGCCTGCATCTGCTGTCCAGGGGGCTTGGCAGCATCCCGCCTGGCTCAGCATGCTTTGGTCCCAGCGCACACCAGCCCTTGGCCTGGGAGCAGCAGTGGGCCTTTTCACATGAATACCTGGTGGTGCTTTGGAGGAGTCTAGGGAAGGAAAGAGGATCTCTTCTGCCTCTGCTCATCTCTCTTCTGGTTAGCAGTCTGATCTTGCTTTTAGGGAAGAAGACAAGGGACTATTTTCCTTGCTCCTCTCCCTGCAAAACTGTCTTCCACACCATCTCCTCTCCTTGATCTTTGTATGTGTGGCACAATGCTCTCAAATTCAATAAACAGCCCACCTAATAATTGAGCTGACTGTATATTTTGCTGCGTGGTGACTGATAGCAATATAAAGCACTTGAGGTATTCGTGAGTTTAGTTCACTGCATGAGTGTTCACGTTTGCAGTCTGTCACTGAGGCTCTGTGCGTAAACAAAATTCTTCACTATTGCCTTTAGTGGCACGTTGTGGGGGAAGTATGATTCTTGTAATGTTACTTCTTTTAAAAATTAAATGGTTATATTGTACTTCTGTGGTCATAGATGCAGTATGAATTTAATGATGCTTGCTGCAGTGAATTCAGGGGGAGTTTTGTTTTGGGATACTTTTTTCCATGGTCATGTTACACACAGTTTCACTTTTCTGGCTGAAAAACTCAGTACACAAACTGTACCTTTAAAGACGCAACTTTTAAAGTTTGAGAACTTCTGTGTAAAGTGAGTAAGAAAACAATTTATTAGTTTTCATTCTAAAGAGAGTGAAAGTACCTGCACATCGAAGGTCATGTAAACTGACTGCCCTGGATGCTCTCTTCCCTTCCCCTGGCTTAATCAGCACAGCCCTCTGAAGTAATTTTGTTTGGAGCAGCCCATTCTTTCTTCTGAAGTTGTTTTTATTCAGTGGCCTTCGTTATGTGCTGAAGAGGATGAGAGATTCAGACACGATCTGGCCTTGCAGGAAGCCTAGCTCTGTTCCCAGGTTCATTCAGACTTGCTTTCCTCACATGTGACTTCTAATCTGTTTAATAGGCAATAGCTTCTTACCGTCTTGAATGGTAGGTATTTGTTGCAACGACTGAACTTTGCTTTCCCAACTACCTTGCTGAGTTCAGGGTTGTAGTGTGGAAGATGGCAGAAAAATTGCCCTGCCTGTCTTATTCTTGGAAATAAAAGAAAACTTTCCAAGTAGCAGCAAGCCCGGGATGCCCTGCAGGATTTGGATCCTCTCTGGTTAAAGGGAGGAGAGCTGTTATGGTGCCATTACATTGCAAAGCTTCTTCTCGTAAAGTATATGGGAGCTAGTGGTCTGTCTTCCCTGCAGACCAGCTAAAAGCCTGTGTTAGCCCTTTCACACTTGCAAGCCTGTGAAGAAACTCAACTTGCTTCAGGTGTGGACAGGAAGGAGGCTTGAAATCAGAGCTTTATTTCTTTTTTTCATCGCTGACAGCTAAAGATAGATAAGGTGGCTGGTTTAGTTGCGTCTAATGCTTTTGATTGCTTTGGGTAAGAGTACATTTGTCTTAATTTTCCTCAGAAATTCACAGTGTGCACATTTAATACCATACTAAGATTTGAGGGAGTGTGATTCCTTGCCCCTTTCTAAGTATGCTGAGATTTTCCTGATAAAGCCTGATTGTCTTGCCAAGCTCTCAAGGCAGGTGCTAGGGCAAAGGTAGCATTTCATAAGAATATCTGGTGTGATTGTAAATTAAGGCTTTATGTCACTTAATCGCGGTGTCAGAGAGGGGAGAGAAAAGGAGGTAGAGAAACTTGTCTCATCACCAACATGCAGAAATGAAATAGGCAACTATATTTTAGGAGTCTGTCATGTTTGCTGTGTTCTTAGACAGTCAGCAAGTTCTGATTGTTTGGGTTTTTAAAATCAAAAAGCCACAGCTTTCTGGAGGTGCCTAATGCCTCTGAAAACTGGGACATGTAAATTTACAGCCTTTGCAGCTCAGTCATGCAGGTAGCTTTCGGAGCCAAGTAAGAACAACTGCTGCAGTGGGAATGCGTGGCGCTCACCCTTTTCTGCCCTTCTGTCAATCCTCAACTTCAAAGACTAATCAAGATTACTTAGGTGGTTTAAGTAGCTTTGGCTGTTAGACTCTCAAGAAATCTTAATAGTTTTCTAATTGTTTTAGTTATGTATTCTTGATGGAGGATATGTAGTGATACAAACTACAAGCCAGATACAAACTATGTTTATTCTGATATTCAGGTATTATAGCCATTATGTGCCCTGAAAAATAGTCTTTGTACCCAGTCTCCTATAACGTTAGGAGCAGTCTTTTTAAACGGAAAAATGGAATTCTTGCACTAATTGCCATTTATATGGATTCAAAATACATTTTTATTTGTCACGAATATGTTTCTTGTAGAGTAGTTTAATTTTGCCCTGTTAGAAGCAGAAGTCAATTTTAGAGGTAACAAGGGATCTGACTGGCACATGGCAAAATTGTCAGCTGCATGTTTGGGTTAAATCCACTTGAAGTAACTGAAACCTGGTGAGTGGCACTGCTTGTACTGTCACGGTGTGTTTCCTGAAGTTTCCTATAGACTTTCTCTCTATTTCCATGTGATTTGATTACCTGTGCCTGTTAATGCATGCTTTTCTCTTAATATTACCAGCATTGTCCTAAGTTTCAAGGAGATTTGGCTGTCTTTGAGTACTGTCTGTTCTCTGTTGTTTGCCTGTGATGTGAGTGGGTGTTATCAGGGGCCATGTATTTGACTTGAGCTGAGCGCAGATTTTTAAGTGTGCACTCTCTAAGTGGAATTATCGCTTCTAAAATACAATTGGTTCTTCAACCACATACAAGAGATAAAATATTCCGTGATTATGTACTGCAAAAACACTTCAGCAACCAGAAAGTCTGTCTTTGGAACGGGCCAATGTGCAAAAGAGTCTGGAGGGTAAAATCTGTTCATATGGAAGACTCAACATATGCTTTACTGTAAAGTTTACAGGGGTTTTTGTTATGCTGCCTGACATTTCTGTAGATACGCGAGATGTTTAGGATAACACAAATGTGAGAGGAGCCACAGCCTCCTCTTACAGCATAAGGCAAACTTCAATAGCATTTAAAAAAAAAAAAAGCAAAACAAACCTTTTTTGTGGATGTTTGTTTCATTTACCTGCTGCTTTTTGACTGTGCAACAGACACAAGTATCTGTGTGCTTTTTCCTTTTAAAGATGTCTTTAATGAAATGCTAACATGCCACCTAAAGGAGATCAAAGTGCCTGCAAATTTTATGTTAGTTGCAGGGATGCTTGTAGTTACAGTTCTACCAATGTTTTTTTCATTATGTTTTCCATCTTTTCAGCACAAAGCTAAAATATTTTTTTTCCCCATCTCTCTCTTAACAGAACTTTCTGCAGAAGCCAAAGCAGCGTTACTTGAATTTGAAGAGCGGGAAAGGCAGCTTAAACAGGGACGGTATGGCTCAAGGAGAGGAGGGCGAAGAGGAGGCTCGGTTATGTGCCACGGAATGGGAGAACAAAGGAGAGACAATAATGATAGGGGAAGAATGAAGGATCACAGGCCTGCACTGCTGCCAAACCAGCCGTCAGCAATGGTACCTTTTAATCCTTAGTATTCTTTGAACATACTTTCAGGAAATTACGGAGAAATGCATTCTAATTCGTGAATCTTTATGAAGGTGGAATATATATTCCAACGTGTGCTTTTTGCTCTTTCAGGGCACTGTTAGGCAAGACGGGCTTTGCATAACATGGTGATTGTGAAAGTATGTGCTTAGTCCTGCTACCAGCCTCAGCTTGAGGAATCTCAAGGCCTCCCAATCAAAAGTGGATTTCAACTTGTACAATATAGTCAGGCTTACTGACTGGTTTGCCTAAGGATGGCGGAAAAAGTTAATTCCTCCAAGAAGTCCTCTATGTGCAACATGGAAACATATTCAATCCCACATTATCAAAAGTAATTTAGTTTAAAAAATATGATTTGTAAAATATTTCTTGTTTTTTTTGTCAAACTAATATTTTTGCTGATACTTCTAAAAAATCATTATTTGTATACCTACCATGCTACTATGGAGGCAAATAAAACCCTAGGAAGGTAATCACCACTAGATAAACTAGTATCTTGGGATTTCAGTTAATACTTAGCTTTGTTACTCTTTTTTTCCCTCTGGGCTTTGTATCACAAAGTATAAGCTGTTACTTTTTCCATCTGGAAAAAAAACCCAGCAAGTGTGTAATCGAGAGGTAGCCCACACTTATTTTTGTTAACTGTCACAAAATGTACTGGAAGCTGAGATTGTAGAACAAAGCCTGTGTATGTCTTTGCAGGACAAGGTCATCTGTATTAAACAAAGGGGATTTTTTTCCAACAGCAGTAACTCTAGGTGCTGATCACTAGCAGGAGTCGGTGGATATCTCAGCGGTTGAGAGCCCTGCAGTAGAATATTTCGTGCTTTTAAAACAGTGAAGGTGGAATAATTTTTTTCTGTATTGCCGCAGTCTTTGCTAGTTATTTTGATCTTAAATGTTGTAAACATACTGTGCTCATCACAATATCTTCTTGTGCATACTTTGTATCTGCTTTGCTTTATGTATATGGCTGCTGAAAAAAAATGATGTCACATCTTTGTTACTAAAAGGTTGCCTGTTTCAGACTCTGCTTACGCTGCCATTTGGAAGTTACTGGGCTAGGATTGATAGGTAGTGTCAGTGAGTTCAGAAGCAGAATAATATCTCTGAAGAGAAACTTGATAATATTTATTTTAACTATAACTGATTATGGCCATTTGTGTTAGTGAGTGTTGAGCAGCAAGAGACTTTCTTCTATGTTACGAAAAGTACCTTTAAAAGTATCTTTAAAGTATTTTTTTCTTCAAGCAGTGTGGATAGGTGGGCTGCACTGATATCTTAAGAATCTAGCTTAAGTTGTATTTTGACTTTTGTTGCTACTGCTAGGTCTGTTTTCTTGGAGAGGATCTTCTATACATGAAACAAAAGTTAGTGGATTTGTTTTGATACTAGGACTCAGATTTCTAGTGATCATCACATATACCTTATTGGAGTTGATGACAGTTTCTAGTGACATATGCAGAACCCTACATATGAAAATAGACAGTTTCACTGTTAAAAATAAGTGAATGAATGTGTACATTTCCTGTGTGCTTCTTGCTCTTTGCTGTCCTTTCTTTCACATGAATGCCTTTGGTTGTTCCTTTGCTTTCCTGTGCTGATGGTTCTTATCAGTTCCAGTTGAGATATGGGAAAGAATTTTTTTTTTTGTTCATATTTGGCTTTAATTGTTCTCCAGAGGTGTCTTGGGTTTGTGCTGGTTTATGTCAGGACATTGTAACTTTAAAGCCTATTGACTTTATTCTTTTGTCTGACTTTAGACTCATTCACAGAGGTTAATTCCAACACACCAGCAACCTGTTAGGAGTCTGTTCCAGCAGCAGCAGCACCACCAGCAGCAGCCGCACCACCAACAGCAGCAACAACAGCAGCAGCAACAACAGCAGCAGCAGCAGCAGCAACAGTTACACTCTCTGCTTCCTTTACAGCATCAGCATCATTCTTCTCCTCCTCCAGGGCTACATATGCCCCCTCAGATAGAAACGCCTAGAATAATGATGACTCCACCTCCAGTGACACCTCAGCAACCGAAGAACATACACATAAATCCACATTTCAAGGGGACAGTAGTGACGCCTGTACAAGGTGAGCTTTCTGAACGCCTTCCCAGTCATGCGAGCGTGACTCATCGTCTTTGCCAATGATGCAACAATTTGTTTACCACTTCATGGAAATGTGCTTCAGGCTGATATTTTTTCTTTAAGCTTGAAACAAATGTTTTGCCTAAAGTAAGACATAATGTTGTTGGACTGTGGCCAGCTGAAATAGTAAAGCCTTTTCAACTACTTTATTGTCTTTGTTACTCTACTGTAAAGCCTGCAAAGAGCAATAAAAATGCAAACTGAAAAGAGAATATGCTTTTTAAAAGTAGCAAGTGTCACTGTTCAAAACTAGGCAAGCACTGCAGTTCATAATTTGCCACATCATTCCAGCTTCAGCCAAGCATTCACAGAATGACCACCTACCTATTTCAGTGAGAGTACACTGAGACACTCCTCGCACTGTAATTGCTCTCTGAAGGGTACCAGCTGGCATCCTTACTTGACAAGATACATGCCCTCAGTTCTCCTTTCAGTGCCACATTTGTGATTGTTTGATTCACAGCCTGCAAGTGCACTTTTTCTGTAACTTAACACAAGCACTCTTTGGGCTACACTTTTTAGGGCAGCTCTCAGCAGAGTTGTTAATGTTACTACTTATTTAGGAAGTGTTTAATCCCTAAGAGGATAAAAATAATACCTATATAGCTCTGATTTGTGATTCTGTTGGGACTAGACAAAGTAAAGAAATACGTGCATATTCATACATATTTACTGCTAGGTTTTCTGTATTTTTTCCCCTTCAAATCAGTAGAACTCCAAGCCAATGCTATCTTTGCTTCATTTATTTGACCAATGAAAGGTAGAAATTTGGCAGGGTAGGATATTGCTAGTTGATAGAGATCTATTAGGCTTCTCACAGATGGCTTCATAGTAGCTGTGTTGGAGAGATTATTTCACTTTTTCCTGTCTAATAAAATCAGTGCTTCTCACCAAATTACGCATTGGGACAGATTATCTGGAAACAGGCCCAAAGGTCATTTATTCTTGGATTTATGCCTTCTGTGCATTTTTCTAACATTTCCAAAGCAACAGTTCTTGTTTTGTGGAAAGCAAAAATTGTTTTTAGACTATTCTAGATGCCTCTCCTCTCTCCGCCCGTGAACGGTCAACAAATTCCGCATCTAGGTGAGCCAAGTTTCCTCCTAATGCCAGCAATGGCTACTGAGGATTTTAGCTTTTGCCTATGTCAAAAGTATGCCAGTGTATCTTCTTTCTTTTGCCTGAGTCTTTTTCACATTATCAGATGGCTTCAGGCTTGTCTCAGCCTTTCCACTACATCTGTGGCACCATGTGTATTCCAGCAGTCTTGCTTTACCTCGAGCATAGTCTTTTTTTTTTTCTGTCTTTACTTGCAGATCCACATTTTAACAAGGTTGTGCACCTCCTGCATGTTAGGAGATTTTAAATATTGGATTTGTAGTCTTTTTTTTTTTTTTTAGATCTTATACCTGCTGACTTTATGTGCACATTCATTTCTTGACTAGTAAAAGTGTAGTCGTCCTCTCAGAATGAGCAGCCCTGGAGAATGAGTGATCCATTTTTGAATGGTGTAAGACCTGTATTTCAGTTGGGAAGATCTATGCTATATGTATTGGTGACAGCTGGTTCATATGAAATACCATCCATTTTACTGAAGGAATCCTCAGCAAGACTACTGAATATTTCTCCTAATAGGTTTGCAGCATACTATTAAGTGCAATCTTTTAAATCACTGTAGAATTTTAATCTTCTTGATTAAAGAGCATGTATGGCAAGCTGAGTCTTCTGCAGTGGCTGAGAGTAGTGACCATCTCCATCTCTTACTCTGCATCAGTATAGTTATGTTACATGAAAGTATACATTTGCACACCTAAGGAAAATGTGTAGGAAAACAGTAGTTGTCTTAAGGGAAGATGACAATAATTCTAAAATCTTCAATGGTATTTGCATGTTAAGATGAATTTTTAAGCAGTCACTGCAGGCAAACAGTAGACTGAAACTCCAGTGTAGGGAGAGCTGTTCTAAACTTCCTCATAAAAAGTCTTCCTCAGTTTAATCCATCTGCTTGAGGCCCTGATAGACAGAGACTGGTAGTTGACAACGTTAGGATGTGTTTCACATGTGGCGTAATTTTTTCAGGGTAACAGGAAGTATGAAAGATCAGACCCACTTCGTGTTCTTGATGATGTCCTGCCCCTTCTTGGCCGAATGTATTTCCAGATATCTGAGGGGTTTTACACATTGGAGAATATAGTCAGATAGGTGCAAAGTTTATGGGTGTTCTGTTGTTGAAAATGTGATGCCTGGAAGCTAAAAATGCCATGTCTGGAAGTGTATGATATGCACACTTAGGTTCTGGTAATTTTAATGGTGTGCTGTCATGTTTTAGTGTAGGCTGGCATTTTTTCCTCTCTAATTTTATGGCAGGATTAAGCTCACACACTTCTAATTGTCAGCACCAGGGACACTTTTTCTAACTGAAAATCATAGAAGTATACTTTCTCAACATCTTTTTGATTTGAGTTAGTCTTGAAATGCGTCGAGTATATCAGTATTTTCTAAAAAAAAGACTCAAACATCCCATAAAGTGTTGTGAAATTTTCATGCGAATGAAATAAATGAAATAGCATAAGTGCTCTAGTAGTCAGCTCCTTCAGCCTGAAAGTGAATTGAAGCACTCTTGAAGAATCCTGTCATTGGCTTATTCCTTTGATGTCTCCAAGGCAAATCTCTTACAGTGGCTGCCATTTCCCTGCCCAGCCTTGAATCTTGCTTCAGAAAAATAGCTACTTCCAAGACAGTTTTGTTTCAAACAAATTTCTACTATTTTTAGTCTTTGAAGCTTCATAAAGGAGTAAGGAGGACTCTCTGTCAAAACCCCTAAAATGGTTGTGGGAGCCTCTACGCATACCTGCTGCTGGTAGTGGTCGGTTAGTGTTCAGCTGTGCCTCTCATAGCATTTGTATCTTGTGTCCTTTAGCTGCTTGCTTGTCATACAGTTTTCTCTTTTCTTTGTGTCCTATTCTGTAAATTAGTTCTGAGTTGTAAGTAGTAATTTTTGGCCAAATGCATGTCCAAATTTGAGTATGGTCAATTTATAAATGCTGGAGGACTGTGCTACAAAATACTAATTCAACCTGTGGTAATAGGTATTGAGGTTTTTTCCTCTTAATGTTTATAATACAAATAACTGTTTCGAGAATACTGTGGTGCTGCCAAAACTGACATGAACTAAAGAGCGTTTTATCGCAGCTCGGTAGATCAGTATGCCATTTACCTTTTAAAAACTGTTTGGTATCCTGGGAAAAATTACATTAAAATTCTAAATAATCAATATTGGAATTGCTTATTCATCTTTTCAGGTATAGCATTGGAATTTGTGGCCAAAAGCAATTTAATCTTCTTAAAATAGTGTCTAATAATATGCTGTGTATTATTTTTGAAACATGCTTTTTCAAACCTATGGAAGATTTGACATCAGGAAAATGAATGTTTATTTGAGACTTCTTTGCTGCTTCAGCAAGTGCCCAAGGATGGAAAGGGCACAATTTGAACTACTGTCCTCCATGAGTATTAAATTAATTTGCTTAAAATATATAAAAATATATATGTATGCTACTGCCAGAGGCAGGATACTGAAATAGACACGAGTGCCCTGTTCAATTGACATTTTTCTACATTTCCCACCTTATGTGATTTTTCTCAGTGCCTCTCTGACCTGTAATACCTGAGCTATTTTAGTCCTACGTCTGTCAAGAGCACCCTGTCAATTTTTTCCAGGTGGCCATGGCTGTTTGATATCGACAGATGTTCATTAGAAGCCAAGATGAGGCTTTCACCTAATTTTCTTGTGTAACCCGATACCAAGTTTGCACGCAGTCCTTTGGCGCTGAAAGACTGGTGCAATTAGTTTGTCCCATCAGTCTCTGAACTAGTAAACCACAAGTACTTAACAAAAATGGGTAGAAGCCAGACATGGACATGAATTAAAAATAACCACTAATGCATTAGTTCTTGTGCCTCAATTACCAAGGAAAAAGGGATTTTTGAGGCATCTTATCAAAGTCTTATGTTGGGAAACGCAGCTAGCTTAAGGGAGGAGTTTGTGTTTCTTAACATCTTTCCTGCTCTGAAGTGTAATACAGTAGTCATCTACAAAGTCCATGTTTAACCCTGTCACTTTCAGAAATGCTAAAAACAAATTCAAGAAAAATACACTTATTAAAAGTTTTTAGTAAGTAAGCAAACACATTCAGTGCTGTTTGATTGAGATGCTTTATTTAACTTCTCTAGGCCTTCTGTTTAACACTGAACTTTTGTACTTTTAACACTTAGACAACTTAACAAGGAAAAAAACTGCACTGGAAAATGGGAAATCTGTCATTATACTTTGTACTGGGGACTCAAATAAAGATTCAGTCCCCAAGGTGATCAAGCAGTAGATACTTTGTGCATTATGCCATAATACTAAATGAATGTTTTGGGATAATTTTTTTTGTGACTAGTCTTTTGAAACGCAGTTGTATGGGCAACTCATCCCCATGAATGCCCCTGACATGTTAATTTTGGAGGTTATTTTTCAGAGTCTCCTAATTATTCTTGGTGTCTCGCTATGAAATAGCAGTCTTTCATCTGAGATCAGCACAGTGATCAGTTGCGTACACCATTATGGTGGCAAGGCCCGATTAAGTAGTTTTTGCTTGCTGTTAATTGCCACTTGCTGCCTCATTTTACCTTCCTATGAGCAGTAATTTATACCCATAGACCTTCTCATGCTTGTGCTTCTCATGCTTGTGCTTGTTGTGGGAGGTTGGTGGTGAGACTGGGAGATGCCTAGGAAATCTTGAGGGGCATGAAGCTGAGAAGGCAAATTAATCATGTATACTTCTATTTGAAACATGAAATTGCTGTTAAGAGTCTCTGTCAGCTTTGTCTAAGAGACGTCTTTGGCTGAATAAGTATTCTAGTTTTCCTTCCTGCAACAAGGAGCAATTTAATTCTGGAAAATGCAGAATTAAATTATGTAAATTAACTAGGAGAATCCTAATTGCCCTGTTGCATGTTGTGGGGGGAGGGAATGGTTGCTTAAAGTTAATTGTAGGAACTGTGACATGTGAGGGTAAATGTAGCAGATTTTAATCATGGCTTCTTACTGCAACTGCTTTTGGAAATAACAGCAACAACTGTTAGGTAAAACAAATGGTGTTAAAAGGCGCTTCTTGTTTCAGTGCCCTTGCTGCCAGTTCCAGCCCAGCCAAGACCTGCTGTAGGACCCCAGAGATTTCCTGTGAGTAGCAGCTGTTTCTTCTTCTCTGATATGGATAAGCATACATTTGCAAGGAAATATTAATATAGCAAATAAAAGCTGTTCTAGTGAAATATAATTTTAAGGATTTGTAAATATTGACAATTCACTCTGCAGTTGAAAATGTTTGTTAAAAGCTTAAGGTCAATGGATTTTTCAGAGTAGAATTAATTCTGTTTAACTGTAAAATTGTTGAACCAGTCTCTCCAGTGGGAGAGGCATGAATGCATCTTGTCTTAAGGAATATGGGCTTCATTTTATTACTTGACTCTTTCTGTATAAATAGAATCCTTATTTGATATAATAAAAGGCTCTTTGAAGTAATCCCTAAGCTTAAAAAGCATTATATATATTTTTATTGTAAAAATCAGCAAAATTTCATTTTTATCATTACTTCAGGCATTTAAATGCCGTCATATTTTTAGATAAAAATGGGAATGGTATTGCATGACCTTGCTTTCTCATATGTTTCTAACTTCGAAAACAAACAGGGCACCTAGCTGCTTCACTAGGGTAATTTCACTTGTTATTTTTTATTTTTTTAGTTCTGTGAATGGAGAGAGTGCATACTTCTAGACCTTTTCTCGTCATTCCATAATTTAATTGTCCTAAGTTTTTAGCTCAAGTGGTTTGCAAAGTATCAAAATAAGCAAAAGGGTAAATAGTTCGTGCAATATTGCCTTAAATATTTTCAAATAAAGACCCATATGTTATGTTTCCCAAATAGATAAAACACAAAAATTATCCTCTGTTAATGTGTGCAGTGTTAAAGGAGGAAAGTGGATGTTTGTGAACATCTGTGTAGTATCACACAGTAAATTACTTGCACGGAGATCAGATGTATTTTCAAAGAAGCAGGTTTCAGAAACCTGCTGTGACTTTTGATTGCTGTGTGCATACCTGGTTGTTTTTGACACAGAGTATTTTTCGTACAGGACATATAGCTGAGGAATTGTGATGTCTGTTTTGTACAGTAACTGGGTTTTTGAATGGCCATTTTTCTTCTGTGAAGTATAAAAAGGTTAAGCAGTAAAGCCACAGTTTCACTAAGTAAATTCATGTTGCATAATTTCATCAACAACACTTTAACTGGAGATGCTTTTCTATTAAAAATGCTGTGGTTTTCAGAGGAAAGAGTTTTCTTCAGCAGCCTTTAGTATTACGTGGAGACCTTATTAACATTTTAAAAGTAATTCTTAATTGTTTTTTATGAAAACAGGTATCTTGCGTTTGTTTTCCTTTGACACTAAGTAGCTTTGCCAATAAACACAATTTGGGATGGAAAAGAAATTGGCGGATAAGGAATATCTGTAAAGGCATTGTAACTGACATCTTTGAAGTGTGTTTACATCAGTGTAGAAAAATTGGAAATTAATTTTTTTTAAATTGACTGTGAAATTAGATTTCAATTCTGTTCACTTTGGTTTTGCAAGTTGAGAAGTACTGCAAACCTAGCTCATCTTGCATGCAACAGTTTTAAAAGGGAATAAAATAGATTGAACATTTCTGGTAGAACTCTTGCTCCTTTTGCCTGAAGGAAAATACTTGAATGCTTGCTGCCTTTTTATATAAGCAATGCACTAACAAAGAGTCAGTGTAATTCTTTTTTTCATAAAGAGGAGGGGAGGGTTAGCTTAACTAAGAGGATCCAGTGCTGTGATTTGGTTGCCGAATGTGGGTGGATTTTTTTCTGCCTTAGCCAGTAACTGCTATATGACCCTGAGAAAGTTACTTACTATTTCCATGACTCACCAAGTTATAAAATGGGTATAATATGGTCTTCCCTTACGAAGTACTTTATAAATTTTGCATAGGTTATCAGTCATATTAAGATTAAGAATTAAGTGTCACTGTGTACATATCTCATGTTTGTTTTATTAAATGTAGTATGTTAGCTCTTGAGCTGAAGACAAATTTACTTTCTGACTTGAACGTTTTATCTTGCAGAACTAGCTTTTTTGCTCTGTTACATGTCAAATGCCTTTGTGCCATTGTAATTCACTTGTTTATGTATAAGTGTTGCCTTATAGCAACATAGCAATGGGTAGACAACTTTGACAAGCCATTTGAAAAAGATCAAAGAAGTATTCCAGACTACAGTTCATTCATCCTTTTCCTCACATTAGAAAGAATCTCTGGATATGTAATAACTTCAGCTTGCTCTTGTTTTTAGGATGGCCTAATCCAAGGATAATAGTCAACTGATTTTTTCGATTGCTTTGTTTCTAAAAAACTGTGGGGTCAGAATTAATGTAGCTTGCTTTCTCCTTTAACTTTGAAGTGGATAGTTTATTTTGATTGAATATGGCAGAGGTGGAAACATTAAAGGTAATGAAATTCTTGCCAGGGAGGGGCCTAAAAGTGGCGAGTGCCCTAACTGAAGGAAAAGTTGCCCCTGAGTTCCTATCTTAGAGAAACTGCTCAGCACAGAGAGCCTGTGTGCGCTCTGAACATGGGAAGAGCTTCAATCAGAGCTAATAAATGCAAGTCGTAAATCCATTGGAAACCAGGTGTTATTAATTTAGGGCTAATGAAGTGACTTGTAACCATGTAATGGTTAATTCTTACAGCCTTTTGCAGAAGGATGTAATTGAAGAGTTGAACAAAGTTGTAATGAGCATGTTAGCATATTGGTGTGAGTTCTGAATTACAAGAAATAATGTAGTACTAAATCAGGATAATGTTGATCAGGATTGAGCCTGCTTGGAGTTGGGACTGATTAAATTCACTTAACCTTGAATCTGAATTTTAATATTTCAGGGTAGGGCTCATTTTTCAATTATTTCTTACTGAAAGCTTAACTCCTGAAATGTTTAGAGAGGAAGTACGAGAAAGGACATAATGGAATGAATCTGTGTTCTCTACTTCCAGTTATTTTAACATTTACAGTAGTCTTGAATCAAGCAAGGAAGTTGTCTATCTCTTATTCTGGGAGCATTCAAGGTGGCTTAGTGTGAATGATGTTGGAGAGCTATATTCAGCTGATAAGGACTGAATAGATGGCAGATCTGAGGCATGTTACAGCTGAGAAATGTGGTGAACTTGGGGTAACTGGGAACTAAAGACCCGAGTTCTGTGAAGGCTTCTATGCCTGTCTGAATAGCACAGTACTCTTCAGGTGGCTGTAGCTGGTAGTAATCAAATCTTCAAGCATAGTTGATGCTAGTATTTTTCCTGGTATTTGAATTAACCTGGAACTGTGCAAGAGCCAACTGCGTGTTTTCTTTAAACTGTTCAAAGAACAGATTAAGGTAACCTCTTTGGCAGAGTCCTTCTGAAGGTCTTGCTTTATCATCCACCTTTGCTTTAAAGTGGTTAAGATGTCTTTTTCTGAGTTCCTGTCTCAGCGGCACAGTTGGTATTTCACAAATAACAGGCTACTTTAGGGAAGGTGACAGCAGACTTTCTTCATAAACTAGTTGTGTGGGTCTTCTGACCTTTTCATATATTTTCTGACTAAATTTCTCATTTTTGCAGATGCCCCAGTGCAGGTACAGAACCTGTATTTTTTTCTTGTTACACAAGAACATTGTGGTTCCTGTCCTCCGGTGTTTGCTATCTAGGCTAATTTCTCTTTCAACTCCTATGTTCTGTGAAGAAGGATGGGGTAAAACAAGGGAAGAAGAAATCAAGTAAAAAATGGAAGAGGTGTTTAGAAACACTTTATACGTAGGCTGCTGCTAACTGACTATTATAGAGGCCAGATCATCACTTAATACAAAACCAGGAGCTAAGTTGATGGTCCAGATGTTTTCATCCCGTATGTGACTCCACCAGAGTCACACATTCTGTGTCTGAAATATTTCAATGTTTGCCTGAAGAAAAATGCATAAGGACTTTTTGCTTCAAACATCATTTATTTAACTTGATGAACACTGAAGTAATAATCATATGTGGCACGTCTGCAACTTTTTAAGGACATACGAAAGTGGAACAAGTGTTGTCGTGCCCACTTTGGGATAGAGTGTGGCAGAAGAAAGGTGTTCTCACTGTCAATGTTCTTCAGCCAGAAATTGTGAGGTATTCCTAGCATCCAGCTTTGCGGCTGGAATGGGGCATTTGGAGTGAAGAGGAGGTTGGGGACAACCCGCCTCACTGCTCAAGGCAGAAGAGAGGAATTCCTTGGCGCTGAGGCCATTCCCCTCTGTCTCTGCCCTGGATCCTCCTCTGAAACTGCTGCAGAGAGCTGGGTGTGGTGCGAGCTGGGCAGGTTTCCATCCCACAGACACGTTTTATTAACTTCAGTCAGCTTGAGTTTCAGAGCTGCAGTTAGGAATAGTCTGAAGTGGCACGAAGCACAAGGTGAACTGATGCTTGTGTCTGCCTGACTAATTTATGCCAGGGAGGCTTTGATGCTTCTTAATGCACAAAGCTTTTCTCCTCTCCATGTCTTAGTGCACTGGGTACCTTTCAGGTAACAGCTGAATTCAAGTCTGAAAAAGATGAATTGTATAACATAATTTAATGTTTTACTCAGTATAAAAATAAGCCTTTAATAGAGCAACTTGTCCTCAGGCCCTTGTGAATATTTTGCATCGCATGTCTTTTCAGTTCCCAGGGTGTTTTGACATGATTTGGTTTTGGAACTTGGCTTACAATTTCCTTTCAAAATCATCTTTATCCCAAAAGAATACTTGTTTGGGTTGTTCGGTTTTTTTGGTGTTTTTTTTTTTCCCCTCAAACTGAAAAAACCTTAGTAAACTTTCTTTATGTTCCCATTCAACATGCTTTCACTTGATTTCCAGGACATCAGGTGTTGTCTTGAATAATCAACTGCCTTTCACAGCATCCATTTTTGATTCAATTTTTCACCATTTCTGAAAGCTCTAGTTTGACAAATTCTGAGTTTTCAGGTGTTGTTTGAAATTCATACACTGCTTTTAAACACTTCTTTATGCTTTAACATGTGAGAGGTTTTTAAACAGGTGCCCAGTTGCTCATAACGAGGTTGTTCTCCTTCATTGCCACTTGCTTGAAACATT